TCATATTCGTATAATTGATATCAACAAAATTGGCGCCAAGTTAAATTCATCAAAATTTTATCAAAAAAATTGTATGTATTATTTCTATAAAAGATTTGATATCAAGAACTGGCGCCAAGTTAAACCCCACTTCTTTATACCATGCCAAATTAAATAAATAATGAATATTAATCTAATGGTATGTATTATTTGTACGAACGATTTGATATCAACAACTGTGGCGCCAAGTTAAATTCTACTATCAGAATGAAAAGTAAAACTGAAGTGATATTATCTTTATTTATTATTTACTTAATCCAAATAGTACTATCTTTAATTTTTATACAATGAAATCTAAGTATACATATACTTATTGAAGACTCTTCCTATTCCAATCCAAATGGTTTAAATTCCTCTTAAATAAAATCATTATATCACAATTCATTTAAAGACGTTTCCTCTTCCAACTAAAATAGTGGTTATTTAATTCTCCATCAAAATATTATACAAAACATCACAAACTTGCGTTACCTTGCTCAATTTAAATGTTACCACAAAAATTAAAGAATTAACCGTATAAAATGAAAAAATTTAATTTAAATAGAAAAATTTTTCATGTAAAAACACTTGGCGCTGCTAGATCTCGGTATATAATAATAACATGGTAATATAGTAGTAAAACATGAATGTAAATAAGGATAAGAATATAATATTTTGAAAAATAATATAAATAACAAACATGTTAATAAGAAAAGTCATAATCATATTAAAAAATTAAAAAATTTGAATATTTCGAAAAATAAGAAAAATAAAAACCATCCCCAATGAGAATTAATATATCTAGCATGTGTATATATAATTTAGTTATAGAGTCGTGTAAATTATGATCGTTGTGAATGCTATTAAGTTTAAATCAAAGAAAAATAAATTTAGACTTGTAAGACATGCATCGTGGGAGGGGACTTTAACGCCCACTTTACAGAGTGGGGTTCCCCTTCCACAGACTCCAGGGGCGTTAGCACCCTGCAGTGGGCGGCGGGACTCGGCCTGGTACTCTTGAACCAAGGCCGGGTCAGTACCTTCGTGGGGCCGCGGGGGGAGTCCATTATAGACGTCACTTGGGCGACCCCCGCGGCGGCTGAACGAATCAAGGATTGGCACGTGTACGCCGGCTCCTTAGGAGAACTATCCGACCACCGGATCATCCGAATGGAGCTGGTGCCCACGCCCACGGAGGTGCAAATCAGGCACCGCTGCCAAAGAGAGGAGCGTCGATGGGCCCTCAGGAAATTGGACCCCGACGCCCTCGAGGTCAGTCTGCTCTCCTTCACCTGGCCGGAACGCCGGCCAGAAGCTACGGTACAGGAAGAGGTGGACTGGCTCGGGGC